AAATTCTTCCTTTCGTAATCAACGTTCATTCGTTAATCCACTTCAAAAGTCGAATTTGTCCAATACTCATCCATCAGCAAATCGCAATCAACCATCAAGTTCAAATAAGACTGAGCAACAAAATCGTCATAGCATAACAGTTTTAAGAAAAGAAGAAATCAAGTTAAAGAATATGTAGCGTTATCTTCTTCGTCTGTGCCGTCGTAAAAGTCTGACACTTGGATGCTATCGTCAAAAATTGCTAAGAATGATCCAGACTGTTTTTGCCGTGTTGCTGTTTGATACCGTTGATATGCTAAGAACCAGATTCCTGACGCTCTATGCGAGCACATACCAACAGTTCTATTTCCGGTTTTACAATCACAACAACTTCCTTCGATAGAAAGCTGTGAAAATTGTATGTAAGACCAGTAGGATTGAGCAGTTATATGCCTCGAGCGGAGCTTAATCCTAAAGTGTTTGGAAGTGAAAAGGGAAGCATTTCCGATCATTTTCACTCAAAATCATATTGGGCGATTTTCTAGCAGAAACCGTTTTCCGTCCTTTTCAGTTTGTGTTTCCTGAGAAACTAAGTTGCTTGCCACTGTCGGCTGTGTCGTTAAAACATTAGCAATGCTCGACTTTGCTTTCATTTGATTGTAAAACGTGTGATGACAGGTGTTACACAAAGGAAGGTCTATCTGTGTAAAGTCAATTAGTTTTGTAATATCAGTAGGACAAGAGGAAAGAATAAATTTCATCAATTCTGTTGAGTTTTGAAGTGATCTTACTCGTTCGTTGTATCGAAAAGTGTGGGAACAGTTTTTACACTTGTCAGCCGACATGTTAATTATTATTTCTAGAATAAAGAAAAAGCACTAAGTTAAGCGAAAGTGTTTTGAATTTCTTTATCGTTCTTCTAACATCAACGTATTCTGGGCCCTTCTGAAAAAATGAATAATCTATATCACTTGCGTTGACGAAACATATATTTCGTTCTTCGTTTAACTAATCGTCGACACATAACCGAAGTGTCAGAAAAAATGAGAAAAGAAAGAAAACATGCGTTTTCTACTAGATATATTGTTGCGAGAAGGGAATTCAGTGATATATTTGCTAAAAGAAAGGTTTTTATACATTGGTTTTTACATGCTGAATCTGAATTTCAATGGGAATGTAGCCGATAATATTTAATGTTGACGAATTTGCTGTTATTAATGTTTTTGATTTATAAATGAATTTTTGATGATGGATCGTTTTTAATAGATTTTGATGGATGATAGTGATGGCGGAGCCGGTATCGACGATTGCTTGAGACGGTGTTCCATTAGCTCTAACTTTAATATGAATAGGTGATGATGTTTGTGGTGTCGTTGAAATTGATGGGTTTAGTGATCGACGGGCCAGCTAATGAAAATGTGGTGGGTGTTTCCAATCACGGACGGCATGACGACCGCCGCAATTAAACCATCCAGTTGTTTACGATAAAACCATGCAATCGATCGATGATTTGTTAAACCACACACTTTGCATGGACCAAATGGATAATTTGAATTAAATTTTGATGATGTTGTAGAAGACTTTTGTAAATAACGATTTTGTTGCTCAGTCTTATTTGAACTTGATGGTTGATTGCGATTTGCTGATGGATGAGTATTGGACAAATTCGACTTTTGAAGTGGATTAACGAATGAACGTTGATTACGAAAGGAAGAATTT